GAGAACTTCAGCAGCAACGAAAGTGGCGTTCAGAGCTTTGCTGAATGCAATTTTAATGTGTCATCAAAGGCTTTGGTTTCTGGGGGGCAGTAAGCAAATGGAGAATAGTGACTGTTCTCATGAGGGTGCTGAACGTCATCTTTTTTTCCATACTTTTCTTTCAGACTTCCGCTAAATAACTGCAAAGGGACTTCGTTTTTTCATTCTTTTTGTTAGTATGGAAGGATATACTCTGACTTCTATCTAAATATCATCAACTTTTTAATAGAATAAGGAGGTGATTTTACCTACATTTGTCCTAGCTCCCTAGAGTCTTACAGAACAAATGTTTTATTTGCCTCCATATATCAGTGGTTAAGGGCCTGCATGGAGAAAGAAGGCTGACAGGCAGGCTGTTATTTTATTTTATTATCCATCCTGCAGTGAATGATAGGAGTTAATTCTCTTGAGTAAAACATTTTTACATAGCTTAGGAGCCGGTAAGTTTGCCTTCCGCATATAGGTTGCCCGAGTCTCTGTACAATTTCTGTATAGTCAACTTTCAGATATGAGTCCCACAGAATATTTTCCCATATTCCTTAGTAGATCCTGCAGGCATTTTGGTCTTACTGTCTCTTGTAGGACTTTTGGTGTCAGGCACTCTAGACTGAGGGCCGCAGACTCACCAGTCTGGCGGGAGGTTTGCCTTGCAGTTGTCCTACAGTTTGTCTGTAGGACACGCGCCAAGTCGCGGGAGTTGACACCAGTGAGATCATTGCTGCTGTTCTGCGGGGCAGGTAGGGAAGCCTCCTGCCCATGGAGTTGACGGAGGGATGTGGCCCACTTCAAAAGCCTTCATCCAGGATTTCCTTCTTTGGTGTTGAGTATTCACGGATTCATTTTAGGGTTGATAAATATTTAGTTAGTAGCGGCATTGGCTTAATGACCTCTTAATAAACCTGTTTCGTTTCGCTATTTAACTTGCTCTAATGGAATTGTTTATGGGGGCTGCTCAGTGATCTTGAATGGGGAACTGATCCAGATAAAAGTCAATTTTTTTCCCTTCTTCCCTGCTTAGAGCTTGAGTCACTTACTGAATGCCACAAATAATGTTATCAGCAAACATGAGTAGCAGTGTTAGACAAGGAATGTTTCTAAATCAGCAAACTGGTCAAAATTCTTCCTTTCTAAGTTGGAAAGTCCCAAGTGGTCCCTTGGGCTGCTTTGACTCTTCAGCCTTTTTTGAGACTGAGCTGAACACATTTTCACCTGCAAACATATTCTGTGTGTGTGTGTGTGTGTGTGTGTGTGTGTGTGTGTGTGTATGTGTGTGTTTTTATGTTTAGGTAATTCCAGTTTGCACACTAGCAGTTGATAACTAGACCTCACGAGTGGTGGAAGCAGATTAAGTACATTCCTGGCAAAAATTTCTTGGCCCAGATATGCTAGCTATAAATTTCTAAAGTCAATTTTCAAGACAGAATATGAAACATGACAACTTGTTGCACATGACAGGTACATTTTTCTGAGCCCGCTTGTATACAAAAAATGGAACTGTTGGTGTGATTTGATGTATTTCTGCCAGCAGCAGTGTCTACATGCTTGAAAATGTAGAAAAAGTATGGCCTTAGCTTGGCCTGATGTAGCTATAAAATAAAGCAAATATTGAAGATCTGTTTCCACCTCTGCTTGGAAGAGGCTATTATCCGTTTATGTGAGTTAATAATAAGGTTTGTGAACAGGACTAGGTTTTTGGTAATTGATCTTTTTTTCCTCTCTGTTTGAAAAAAAAAAAAAAAAAGGAAAAAAGAAGAGTTTTCAGCTTGCATATTAATTTCAGTTGCCTAAATGGTATATGATCATATATTTTTGTGTTCTGTGTACCTTTCAAAAATGCTTTATACATTTTTATTAAATAAAATTGAAATACTGCTCAGCATTAAATGGTGCATGTAATTAGCAGAGAGAACAATACAAACTTGCCTTTTTTTTTTAATTGCGTAAGCTTGTGAAATGGAAAGAGGTATTTGAGCCATCTAGTGGTTGGTATGAAACATTTTAACATTTTCAATAGATTGTAGAAAATGTAAATGACGACATGAAAATAGCTTTTCTAGTTGGTAGTCTTTCCATTAGCATATCTTTAGAATAAAAAAAATAGATATTCCATTTCAAATTTGGGATGATGTTTCAAAAATTGATATTTTCAATTTCCTATAAATTTTAGTGAAGGGATCTTTATTGTATCTGATAACATAAAACTTGGCTTTAGAACTCAGAGCTATGAGTTGTTAGCATGAGACAAGTCTTCAGAAATTGTGCGGGTTGTGAGGAATTGTAAGGAAAATACTGTAATAATGTAATTTTGTTTAGCACTTGAAAAAATGCTTGCGAGTGGGAGTGGGCTTGTATTTTACATCTGAAACTTTTTTTTTTTTTATGCAGGATCTTGAATTAAAAGGATTTAATCCAGATCTTGTTTTAAACAAGTCATATGTGGTGGAGAACATGTGACGGATATTGTTTGTGAAATATTTTAGTCCATCTTATGATCTCAAGACAAATCAGAAATTCAGGTTTTGCGCAAAAGAGTGGGCTGCAATATTTAATTTGTATTTTATTGAGGGAAGGAGGGACAACCTGAAATCTATGTGTAAATACCATCTTATATTTACATGTTACAATACAGCGTTCATGATCCTGTTTAGCCCTGATATGCATTAAGCTGTTCTGTTCCTTTGTATTGGCCATTTCACGTTGGCTGCATCTTGAACTTGATGGTACTTCACAATACAAGCAGAAGAGTTAGTTGCTGAAATAATGAATTTTATGTGTAATTCAGTGTGGGTTATTAGTGGAAAAAAATTGCATAAATTGGACTAGAACCACCGTAATGTTCTCCAAGGCCTGTGAAATCTTCATCCAAGTTCAAACCCAGCTTAAAGGATGTTTTTAAATCTTTAAGACAAATCTAATGAGCAGTTAGCTGGCAGTACTAATGGTGTTACATACAGTTTTTAATATTCCATAATGGTTGGATGTGATCAATGCATCTTTGTATGTTTGGAGTAAATATTACAGAGTCTTAAATCATGCCTGATAAGTAGCAGCTTATCAGATTTTTAACGTCTGGCACAAAGGCGCTACAAGGAAAATGAGAATCATAAATGCTAAAAAAAGAAGAAAATCAGAAGTTCGGTCACAGAAGAGCAACAACAGTATTTTTTGATTTGTATTTTCCTGGCGGGGAGAGGAGGCACAACCAGAAGGTTCTTTGCAAATAATGATATATTAATTATGTGTCAACAAATTGCCTGCATTTTGGTCCTGTTATGTGCCTCCAATACTGAGTATTATTAACCCTTAAGATTCAAACATCAGCTGTATTAATTTTCCCAATATGTAACTGATTTGAGGCCTGAATGGTAATAGCTATCAGAAAAGGCAATTAAAATTTCTAAAGACTGAAGAGGTTTTAGTTGGCAGTCTTTATTTATTTGTTTGTTTATTTATTAATTCATCCTTAATGGGGTCTAGCCTTGATTCCAGCTCTTGCATTTCTGAAGTAACTCTCTATGCAGTTCTGCTTTGTGCTGTTGGGCAGCTGAGCCGACCTGCACAGGTTGGCTGGTGCGTGCTGTGTTTTTGGAGGCTTCTGCACCCTGTGTCCTGTTGCCTTGCTTCGGTCTGTGTTTAAATGACTCTCAGAACAAGGTAGTCTCTGTGGTCGCGTCTGTGGACCGGCCTTCATTCGGTGGCCAGAGCGTGCTCGCGAAACGGGGAGCCTGTCCAGTGCCCAAGCTAGGATTCAGCTCTGTTCATGAAAGAATCTTTGGCGTTTCTTATGTTTTTAATTAGTATTTTGAAAATGCAAATGAGGTGTAATGACATGGTAATTTGAGGTCCTGATTTTGGTGATTTTGAATTATATTGTGGTTACCAGGCATCTTCTGGGAGAAACTTGGTTACGTCTTCTTCATAACTGTGATTGCTTTTGTGAGATTCCATAGAAATACAAATTGTGGAAGAAGTAAATGTAAGGCAAAGACAGATCAGCTTGACCAGGACTCTTGGAGAGTGGAAGTGCCGTTCCTTGCTGATGTGTCAGAGCTTTCTGTTCTTCAGGATGTATTTGTGGCTGTTTAGAACCATAACTGTACATAAGAAAAGCCTAAAATGTGTCCTAGGCTGTATGCACATGTTTTCTCCTGTAAATATTAGAATAGCTCTGCTAAATAGAAAACCAATTATATTGTGGTATAGCATTTTTCAAAAGAAAAGGCAATTTGTATTTTTTTCAAAGTAATTTGGGAAGTATGTAATAATTATTTGTAAAATTGGCTAATTAAACATTCATTAAACCCCTTTGGTAATGGAAGCAAAGAACACTTTGTGAGGAAAAAAAAAAAGTGAGGGGAATGGGTTTCTGCGATCAAAATGCTGCATTTTTTATTTTACTAAAAAGCAAATAGTATAAATTTCATCAAGGAAGCAAGAATATATTATTATCTTAGGTTTGAAGCTAATGGTCTGTATTTTTGGTATTCAGAAAATGTAACACTTCCTTAAGCAAGTTTTCAACATTCATATGATGAATATTCTGCTTTAAACACAGAAATTAGTGTGTTTATTCTTGTGGAAATATAAATTATTGTACCTATTATGTGGTCATGTGTTATAGAACTTTTTTTCCTATTATTAAAGACCTCTGCTCTGACATTTGCTTTTCTGTTGTTGTACATATAGAATAAACCACCTGTTGTTATTTTTCCTTCAAAGGTATATTTCTGCCTTTAAATTCAAATTAGGATTTAAATGTTATTGAAATTATTTTTTAAATCTCTTCTTCTCTATGCTTTCATTCTTGGTCTTTTTAAAGACCTCCTTTTAAAAATGGTATTTGAGTATCTAATCATGAAAATAGAATGTAATTGGATGAATTAAATATTTGAAACTCAACCCATAGCATGTGGTTGGCTTCTCTGGGTTTTAAACATTATTTCTTTTCTTTACAGAATGCTGCCTTTTTATATGGCCTTGGTTTGGTCTACTTCCATTACAATGCCTTTCAATGGTAAGTTGGAACAAAATCTAACAGTATCAAGGCATTATGCTGTGTTTTATTGAGAGGGGAATATTTCAAGATTAGTTCCCTCTCAGTGTAGGATAGTTGTTGTTGTTGCTGTTGTCATCCAGATATTATGTTCAAAGACAGATTGTCCTGGGTATATTATCTGTGTTACTCTAACACACTTAAGGCAACCACAGGAGTTGCTTGAATAGGTAAGTAATTACAGAAGAGTTTTAGCTTCCATAAAGCAGTTTAGCAGGGGGAGTGGAACAGAATGACCACACGGGTTTCTGTCAATTGTTGCTATCCACAGTCTGGGGCTTGTGCTGTGAAATAGCTTATTTTTCCAGAGAAAGATAAGTTATACAAAGGGTTGGTTTTCATTTATTTAGCTTGTTACTCAGTAAGCTTTTGCATACCTTTGTAATGTGAAAGTTTGGGGTATGAGAAGCAGTGTGCTCTGACTTGAATCAGAGCATTTAAGCCTGACTTAGGGTCACAGCTGTAAAATTCTGTCATGCGATTGGTGAGGGGGAGCAGGGAGGTTTTTTTTCAATACCTGCAACAAGGGCGAACTGGAATAGGTTGAGTCTTTGGCAATCCGCTGTCAGGTACTCAGATGTTCATTGATTAGTAATAAGAAAACTGTAGTTTATTATTACAGGGGCATGGTTGGTGTCATTGAGAAAAAGTTGGAACGGTGAAGGTTTTAAATCAGTGCTTTCTTATAAAAAGCTGACCGCTTTTATCTTCTTTTGCAGTTTTTTGTGTTGATTTCAGCCTGGAGTGGTTTCTCTGTTAACATTTCATAGAGAAGTTGTTAATAGAATAAATGTGATTGTAATGCTTGACTAATTACTAAAAAGTTTTTAATCATCATTGAACTGAGCATGTCTGCCTTAAGGAAGTCATGTGTGAATAGTGACAATACGGAGCAGTAAAATTAGATGGTTTTTTCCTCCTAAATTGTTAATTCATCAGAAGTTTCCGTATGTGTCTAAGATAAAAGAATAGTATGTCCCTTGAGGTAGTATAAATGAGCTTTTATTTTTCAAATTAACTAAGTTGGTTAAAATAGGAGATAAGAGCCTTAACTTTTTTGTTTTTATAGATGTTGCTATTATTGATAGTAGTAAAGTGTATGCTGCATATTTTATGTGGAAATATACACAAAGAATTTACAGAAGCAATGAAGTTATTTTGGGGGTTATTGCAGAATCACAGACTGGTTGAGGTTGGAAGGGACCTCTGGAGATCATCCAGTCCGACCCGTCCCGGCTCCAGCAGGGTCACCTAGAGCACGTGGCACAGGGTGGCATCCAGGCGGGTTTTGAAGATCTCCAGAGAAGGAGACTCCACAACCTCTCTGGGCAGCCTGTTCCAGGGCTCTGTCAGTCAATAAGTTTTTCCTCAAATTCAGGTGAAACTTCCGATTGTGGCCATTGCCTCTTGTCCTGTCACTGGCCACCACTGAAAATAGTCTGGCTGCGTCCTCTTGACACCCTCCCTTAAGGTATTTGCACCCACTGATAGGATGCCCTCTCAGGCTGCTCTTCTGCAGGTTAAACAGGCCCAGCTCTCTCAGCCTCTCTTCATAGCAGAGATGTTCCAGTCCTTAATCATCCTCGTAGACTCTGGTACTGGGGAATCCCAGAACTGGACACATCACTCCAGATGTGGCCTCATTAGGGCTGATGGATGTACTGGCAATGCTCTTCCTAATGCACCCCAGGATATCACTGGCCCTCTTTGTCACAAGGGCACGTTGCTAGCTCTTGGTCCACTTGTCCACCAGGATTACCAGATCCTGCTTTCCAGCTGCTTTCCAGGAGATCACCCCCAGCCTGTGCTGGTGCCTGGGGTTATTCCTCCCAAAGTGCAGGACCCGGCACTTGGCCTTGTTGAACCTCACGAGGTTCCTCTCTGCCCAGCTCTCCATCCTGTCCAGGTCTCTCCAAACAGCCACAGGGCCCTCTGGGGTATCAGCCGCTCCTCAGCAGAGCTGAGGGTTATGCTTTTACCAGTTGAAGATTCCAAGAGAATTTCATTTAAAAAGCTGGCTTTGCTTAATAAGCAAAGAAAACAAAAAAGTGTCAGAAAACCTGAAAATCTTTCTACAGTCTTAACATTGTGATCAGTATTGGTTGAATTTTGATATATTTCAGAGTCTTTTTATTCTGATGCAGACTTAATTGAATCATTAAGTATTCAAGAATAGTTTGTGTACTAGTTCTCTTCCACAAGGGGTATGTTATTACAGTTTCTACTATGCAAACTGTGAAAAGACTAAGGGCTGAGGAGATGGAGTTTAACTTTTAAATGTGTAGCAACAAAGTTCAGTAACTTTGAGGCCTAAGAACTAGTAGGTTAGAGCCTTGTCTTAATTCAAACTTCTCTTACAGAATTGAAAGTTTTCTTTCCTGCCTTTCCCCAAACTTTTTGGGAGTCAGCGTATGAATTGATTGTTGACCTTTTCATTATAGTGTTTCACCTGCAAATAGGAATGTATGTTAAAGTTGTTCAGAAAAATCAGATTTGTTGCTTTGTTCATTTAACAAAGGTAGATGTAGTGTAATAGGAAGCTGTGTTTCATGAAGGCAGTGGGTGGAATTTTAGAGGAAGAACTTTAATGCAGGTAATTTTTTTTAACTTTCTTCTAACACGCACACACACGCATACATATACATATTTTTGGGTTTATTTTTTGGGCGGGAGGAGGAGGACGTGCGTGTGTCAGGTTGGTCAGGTTTGGCAAACTCTTGAAAAACCTGGAGCTGCTAGAAAGTCATTTACAGTTAAAAAGTTTTTTTCTGTACATCCTAGCACTCTTGCATATTGCAAGGAGAATCTCACTTCTGTCAGAAATGTTAATCAAAACTACTTTATTTTCTGGTGCAGCTAATCCACCTATTTATGTTCATATAGTACACAAATCCCTATGCTTCAGGAAGGGGGAGGAGACCTCAAGACTGGTTAAGGTGCTTTACATATTGTATTTAATCCATGAATATTTTATTTTAACCACGGTA